CCCCAAAACCCCAAAACCCCAAAACCCCAAAACCCCTTTAGGAAGATTTGTATTCTAAAACCAAATATTTAATAAAATAAAAGTACAAATGAGTTCCCCTGGAAAAAGAAAGATCTTAGGAAAACCTACAACAGAGAAAGATGTTGCCAAAGAAATTAAGAAGGGTCTGATCGCTGTATACATTTACCATCTTGGAGAGCTTTCTGAGGTTTATATGCCTCCAAACTTTCCAGAGGTAGATGATGAAGTACTTCGAACCGTCTCTGATCATGTTGACAATCATTCTAATAATTATGACCATGGGCCACAGCCAACTGAAATGAAGATTTATTACATTGAGAAAGATAAATCAAGAGACAATGAGATGGAAGATATTAAAGGAGATGCCCTTCGGATCGACTCCAGAACTATTAAAAAGAAATTTACAGAAAGCACTAGTTTCAGATATGAGCAGTTACTGAGTCTTCCTGCTGGAAAAGTAACTTCAGAGTACCTTGAGCTTGGTGAAGGGGCTGATGTGCATACTCAGGTAATGGCCATCGAAGATGACCTAGGTGCTGATATGCAAAACCTTCAAGAAGATGACATAGATAAAGTAGCCAAGCTAGATATACTCGAGTCTAAAAATCAAGAAATCATTTCAATTGCTGAATCTGACATGAAGAAAAATGAGGAAGCTCAACAATACCTTGCAGATCTACAGGGAGGTATTGAAGAGATGAAAGAGCAGGACAAAAATGATATTGACGAGTTGATTAATATCAAAGAGCAGCTTGATCAGGATTTAGAATCTGCAAAGGAAGATTTTGACTCATTAAAAAGAGAAAAACCAGAAGGGATAGTACTACCCGAGCACACTACTGAAAAACAGAAACATCAAGCTATCAGACAGTTTCTTCTGAACACTCTCAATCGCAGAAATATTGAATTTGAACCAATTCTAAATGAGAATCAAGAATTAAGAGAAAAGGTATACGATTTGAGAGAAAGAGTTAAAGAGAAATACCTCAATAACATTACTGGAAATGAAGAAGAGGTAAATGAGATGCTTCTTGAATATGAAGAACTTCTCAGCCAACATGTTGACGACTTTGGCCAATACGACACTGAAATGAACGTACAAGTAGAGGAGTTTAGTAAATATGCTGACTTATGGAAACAATTATTCACAGAAGGAATGGATTTAGAAAAGAAATGTGATGATACTGATTACGAAATCGAAGCTCTTATGGATAAAGAAAGAGACCTTACCAATCTCAGAGATAATCTTGGAGGTCTTACTCAAAACTACCAGCATAAATTAGCAAGCATAACAGACTTTCAGAAAGACACAATTGAAAATTTAAGAGATGAAATTGGAAAGCTCGAACAAGAGACTACTAGTTTAAAATCTCAGATTGATGAAAGAGAGACTGAAACTTCAGCAGAATCCTTAGCAATACTTACGAAGAAAAATATCAAGGATGATCCTGCTCTTGAAGGTATCCTAAATGACTTCGTAACAGCTCATAAAGAAAGGAAAAACGTTCAAGACGATGCTGAGAATGTTCCTGAAGAATGGATGGAAGGTCATAAAGGTTATGCTAAGAATGCCCTCAGCGAGGCAGAGAGTCAGAAAGAGCAGAGTAGTGCTAATCACAGAATTAAAGACATCTTAGACCAAATTCATCAATCTAATGAGGACATTGAGAAGCTGTTAGCTGATCTCCAAAGAATTGAAAGAGAAAGAGGACTGAATGAGCATAGAAACAATTTACATCAAGATATGAGCGAGGACCTTGCTGATATCAGAGCAAGACTTGAATATGAATTAGCTCAGAAAGAGAAGCTTCTAATAGAATTAGGTGAATATGCTACTGGAGAACTAAGAGAGCAAATAGATCTGCTTTTGACCCAAATTCAAGAACTAAGAGAATTTTTGAGGGAAAAATGGAGTCAACAGCAAGCTGAGATCGAAGATATTAGGATTCAAATTGAAGCCCATCGTGTGACCCTTAAGAAGATCATCAGTGAAAGCTATAACCTCAAGGTTCTTATAATCGAGGAAGAACATCACAACGACATTAAGAGGAATCTTTTGCGTAATAGAGATGAGTATATCGAGCGTCTCAGGATTGCTATTGGAGATGCTGAAAAGAGACCGGCAGTTCAAATTAAGAAAGAGCCACCCAAAGAAGTACGCTATGTAGCTGCAAAGGGAGATGAAATTGATATGCTTATTGCAGATGCCCTCAATAACCAAGGTGTTGATGTTCCATTGACAAGATTAGGAGGCGGATTCTACCTCTTTGGAACAAAGAAAATATTTGCTAAGATCCTCAATGGAAGGCTCGTTGTCAGAGTTGGAGGAGGATACATGGTCATTGATGAATTCTTAGCAACTTACACAGATTCTGAAAAAATTAAAATGAACAAAATGATGAAGAACGAAGGCGTTGAAGTTTATGAGGAACTGAAGGTTTATAGGAAATATAGAGAGGAAAATCCGAATGCTTTCAAATCATCAGAGCAATCCACAATGATTAAGTCTCTTAGAAAGCCGAAAGCTCATGAGAGAGGAAACTTCTAATGAAGCCACTCTTAATATTTTTCAAAGTTGATCTGGGTTAACGGGGTTTTGGGGTTTTGGGGTTTTGGGGTTTTGGGGTTTTGGGGTTTTGGGG